AAAGGGCGGACACCAGCAGTGACAGACCTGGGAGACAAATGAATAGACATGCTACATGGCCAGCGGAAAAGGGCGGACACCAGCAGTGACACAAAGGGCGGACACATCGTAAAAGAATTGAGAACCCCTAACAGTAGACTGTTTGGGGAAAAACAAAGGGGAAAACACAACAACGGAAGAACAAAAGCATAGGGAGGAACAAAAACACGAACCTTCCACCATCCAAGTCTTCAGAGACGACCTCGTCGCCGAAGTTCACCAGTCCCGCCCTCACCATCCTCACCTCGTACGTCGTTCAATCTCCGAGCTTCGAATATAGGCGTCGCATTGCTGGGCCCGGTCCGGATTTCCATTGAGCTGGGCGATGAAGGCACCTACCGTTCGGTCCCCAGGTGAGGTGGTCAAACTGCTCCGTGCTTTTGGGTGCTTAATGCTTGTTTGGCATGCACTTCGAATATTTGACCGAGATCTCTCCCAGTATAAGGTGGGTGTTGGCCTCACCTGAATCTATCATAGTCTGTCATCCTGTCCGCACTGACATGAACAAATCCAAGCGAATCAAACAAACCTCCCCCGACCAGAAAAGGATTGAACACCACATGCTGAACATCAACATCCCTAAACAGCACGCTTAGGTCCTCAATGCAAAGGACCGGACCGAGTTTGGACACAGTGCCTGTCACAATGCAAATAATGATCAGCTGCACGATGCTCGCCCTGGAGACTACCGCCCGTAAGCTCAACATGGTCTGCGCCACGCGCGGAACCTGGCCGTGCGTCATGTGGACTTGGGCGTTGGATTAGCACACGTATGGACATGTATCTCTCACTTTAACATTTGAGGGGCACTGGACACATTCTGGAACAGCTTTTCTCAGTTATCTCTGGACCGCCCAAGAACTAAGAACAGCTCGGGCTTGTGGAGCCCAGTCGCTGGCCAGCCCTCATGGACTCGCAAAGGCGGAGCTAAGGAGATGCACCAAAGAAGGAAGGCCGTCATGACACTGACGCACCTGGCTGTGTAGTTCTTTCATGTTTAGACCCCATATAGATAGAAAAGTAGATCCCCACTAAAAGTTGAAACGCACACATGAAACTGATGCACCTGGCGGGTGTAGTGTTTTTAACGTAGACTCCCCTGTCATAGATAGAAAATCAGGCCGGGCCGATCCCACATAGAACATGTATATTGGAAAGCCCGTGCCATGGTCATCTATATATTTGGGGATCACTATAATGTTAGTTCTGGGGCCGGGATGTTGCTTCTACATCGACTGGACACGTTAGAAATACCAACCCACCACACTGACCATGGTATCGCCTCTTCAAGAGTGGTATCATGTGGCATCGCTACTCACATGTTTTTGATGGTATGATACCTCAAGGCGGCTACCGGCTACCCTCCTAAATTCATCATTGCATGTTTTGAACCTTGCACAGCTGGACCAGAGCATTTTACTGCAGGGACCCACGTGCAGCGCACCAAAACGGCAGGCTTCCATGCTGGTTTGACATATGGAGTCTGGAGTGGTGTTAATGCATTCGTCTGGAGATGATTTGCACAACACGCACATGCGTGATCAAGCACCCGGTTGCGCAATCTGCCTGTGCTATCCGCTGACATCTGCTTGCATGGCTGGAAACGGTCAAAACCTCACCCTACAAAGAAATTGGTAGGTTGACATCACTCAAAAAAGAGGACGCTGATACGCTGTTTGGTCTACCAAGGTGGCGAATGTTGGCATCATCATACTCTTGGTCAAGGTGACTGGGGGGCGTTTGCTAGCAGCACTGTTGGAAGAACATGGAAGAACTTCTTAGGGGGGCTCCTGGCCGTACTACTAGGAACAAGGACGCTACTGGGGCATCCTGGCATCGCTACTAGAGAATAGCCGAAGATTTGTTGTGGGGTATGTTACAAGGGGTGCCAAGCGGATGGCTTTGCGGATTTTCCATGTTTTTTTTCCCGTGCACCAGCGGGACTTGGGCGTAGCAATTAGCCTGTCGGTCGTGGTTCCTTGAAGGAGTTTCAAAGAAATCCAGTGCACCCCCCTCGCACAGTTGTGCTTTCTTGTCTCCCCGCACTTGGTGTGCCAGCATGCTCAGGCCCAGCCGCAAGGTGAGCACCGATGTCTGAAGTGGACCCCAGTTGCTGAAGATCACCACCTGCAGCTTTTGGGCGGCAAACCAGTTTGGGGCCCCGCGCCGCGGCGCCACACCGCGGACACATGTGGACACACATGTGGACACGCTGCGTATTAAAAGGCGCATGGCCCTAGAGTAGATGGAGAGAATCTGTCCAACCCCTGAGTCAGTAACTATCAAAAAAAACCTTACCTCCGTTTCCACCCAAGGTTCAATGTTGAATGCGCCTTCTTTTCACTTTTCGCCCAAACACTCTGGCAGGCAAGCATATCGCAAAAACAACTTTTGAGTGGGAGGGGTGGAGGTAGCTCAAAACCTTCCATGTCCCAAAGTTACCAAACATCTGTGGTCCCTCAACGCCTTCCTTGCCAAGTGACGCTCAAGTCCTTGGAGTCCGTCCGCTGAGTCTCTGGAACACAATAGGCGGCGCGCATACTTGCACCATCAAAGAGGTCGACACCTGGTGCACCCGGCAGCCACGCCACGTCGTCGGCACCCGGCAGCAATAGCCCCATCCAAGCAAACCAAAGGCACGCCCACTGGTCAAGGTATATTTTAAAGCGCTGAGTGCCAAGCAAAAAAACGTGGAACCCCTCCCTGCCTTCAGCAAAAGGTAGAACATACAAGCTTAAAACCTCAGCAAAACTCTCGTGAGTTCATGTTGGTCAAGGTCGAAGCATCATGTTGGTGTGGGGGGGATGTGGACACAATCTTTTCTGAAACACTCCAAACAATTCCGCGCGCGAAACAGCACCCCCAAATCCGTGCGCGACGCAGATTTGGGGGGAAGACCTCGGCCCAGGGGAGGACGAGCTTCATACGAACTGGCGGATGGTCAAAAGGACTCCATGATTCTGATGGAGGAGTCATGAGAAGCATCTTGCGGACTGGACCCCCACTGGGTTTCCATCTGATTTCGTATGTGTTGATCTGTATGGTTTTCATTCCGTTGGTGGACTAGCCCCTCTCACCGAGACACAGTCAAAGGGTTGATGACCATTGACGAGGCCACCTGGTCAACGGCGGCCGTGCGGTGTGTGTGTGTGCCGTGTGTGGAGTCGTGTTCATCTCGCATCTCAAAAATGATCCAAGAAAAACGGCTCTTCCGACTTAAAGGATCTTAAAGGCATGCAAATCAACATGCATATCCGCATGCATGCATGTCCCCAAGCAGGACCTAAGAGGTGGGTCGGCCTTTTGTGCTGGACAGCTTTTCCCAACTCTTACCGTAATCTGATTGGCTTCAACTTACATGAAACAATTGGTCGGTGGGTTCGTTCTCATCCCAAGGTATAGTAACGCTGAAAACCCTAAAGATCCGAAAGCACCACCGATAGTCATTGAGATTTACCCAACCAAGTCGGCAAGATTGCCAAGATCTGACTTGGACTCGCCGCAGGATCTGGCGAAGAAAAAGAGTGGTCGACCAACATGGATCCCGTTTCGCAACACGTCACACCTCAGCAGTCCACAAGGGTCCACCAAACGGTTTACTAGACTCTGACTCACTAACATGGTAGTGGAAAATCGGGCCCTGGAAGACCATTTGGCATCATTTGGCTCTACGAACAGGGGGATTGTCCACTTCCATGTAAGTGACTGGGAATTAATATATGTTGCCGTGTCCCCCCAAATTCCCCCACACCCTCTTCAGTGGTAACTGGTCAGCCCGGTGGCCCCACGGACTCGGACTCGCCGGACTCGGACGGTCGACGGCATGCGCACCATGATGAGCAGAACCAGTACATCCAGGATGGGTGGAAGTGCACTGGATCCGTCGGTGGCAATGTCCCAGAAATGACCTGGGACGGCTGAGTGAAGGCAACCGCTGGAGGGGTGGCTGCAAGCCCAAGGCTGGGCTCAGATGGGCTCTGCTGTTCCCAAGTCGGGAACCTGAGAGCATCAGGAAGGGAAAAGAAACACAGGTAACCTGGTCATCAACAAAGCCGGTGCTCAGGTTAAGACTTATCGATATAAGATAAGTACTTGGGCTGTGCAGGGGTTTACTCTCTTCACCACTGCTACACGTTGGACCTTATTGGATCCCACTGTGAGGTACACCCAACCAGAAGGAAAACTATCCACGTCTCAAAAATCATAGGAAAAAGCATCCCAAATGCATCCCAATGCCAAAAACGCATTTAAATAGAATCCAATTAAATGCGTATCATCATTTGGATGCACGCCATTGTTCAAGCATTCCAATTCATTAATTTCATCCCATCTCAACCGCTTTTTCTTCGACCCAGCGACCAGGTCTTAAGTCTCGTATGAGGTAGCTCACATTGCGCTGCATTCCTCGCGACAATGTCACGACGAGGCGCCGGCGGCTTTTTGGGGCACCCACCCAGGGTGGCTCTGCTCTCTGAAGCTCCCGCGACTGGTTTGGTAGTTCCATCTCACTTGAACAAAGCATATATGCCCTGAAAGAGACCCACATGGAACCTGAAAACCACGCCCGGGTTGGTAGACGAAGGAAAAACATCGTCTTCGAAACGTCCATGCCATCAGGTTCCATGGGGGTCTCTTCCCGGGTGTAGTGAAGTAAAGGTTCACTCTGACGACACATCCACTTCGTGGATGGCATGGTCCCGAAAGGACGACTGTCGAAACGAACAGGGAGGTGAACTCACTCCCATCCACGTTTTTTTGCCATGTTCTGTGCGTGCCTCTGAAACCAAACCATGCCCATACACTCCATGGGGCTGCCATATATGCCGATCAATTGGGGTGGTTTGGGGGGTCAATGTAGGCATATATGGCAGCCCCATGGAGCGTTTGGGATGGACGTAAGGACCCCTGACCGTCCCTGCTTTCTCCACGACATCACCCAGTAGGACCGAAGTGGGAGCAGCGCGGCCAGCGAGGCCGGCCCCTTTGGCAGCAAACGCTTGGCATACATATGTTTGTTGGTAAGAGGGGCCCCAAAGTCGGGCAACAGCAGCACTGAAACACTTCTTTTTTCTATCAGACTATCCCCTTTGGAGGTTGATTGAAAGCCGATTGAAAGCACCCCGCCAAAAATACATGTCAGACGGGGTGCCGAGGTTCCAGGTATCATCTTACCCAGTGGTCTTGGCAAGGTATTTAAGTAGGATCAGTGAAACATAGACACCCAACTGTTTTTGATTCGTGGATGTTCATGTTCATGACGTCGCAAAGTTCTGCGTACCAACCAGTCGCTGGTTTCTACATCTGGACCATCTTCGGTTCATTCCATGTCACTCCGTACTGTTGAACGGTGGCTGAGTCGTGACAAAAGGCGAAGGACACATCTCGTATACGCCCTAGAATAGGCCCACATGGCCTCAATATAGAGAGACCGTTGGAGGTTCACGTGGAGCGTCTACTCTTCCCTTTTACCAGGTCCGTCGCCCGGTGGGGCTGCCACCGTGCGGCTGCAAATGGTCTTGGCCGCACAGCGGAGATGCAAGTCACGCACACCCGCTGTGACGGGCTCGCCCTCCTGGGCAAGTGATTTTGGACCCAAATAAGGCGATTTTGGACCCCAACGACTCGCCTCGCGCAATTGCATTGTTGGTCGTCCTTCAAAAGGAAAATGATCAAGTGGGGTAACTGTCACCAGGAAAAAGCTTGAACCCCACGGAAAAACACTACAATCATGCGAAGAATGTAGACTGTTGATCAATATGTTTCATCAGAATGTAGTTCTCCATATGGGGCCTCTGATGAATCAACCAGCTACATGACCTTCGATGCGCAAAACAAACACACGCACAAATCTTACTCTATATGGCTACCCGACACTCACTGACAAGCACACGATGTTGCAAAAAAACAATGGTGGACGACCACATGCTACTGCTTGTGAACCGTCCCTCAAACCAACATGCGAAATCTTCCACTCCATACATGCCACTCGACCATGTGAGTGCGCCACAGGGGATCCAAAAGCGATTCATATGTTTAATGTTGATTCCCAGTTGGAAAGCCTCATTCAATCGACTCTTGATTTTTTAAGCTCCCTATTTGGATGGAAACATATCTTCATCTGGGGGGTTGTTAATCAAGAGTCTACCTTAATCATGTCATTTTCACATCCCAAACGTCTTCAAGTCTTCCTCCAGTCGTCTTCCCCACCTCGTCGCTGCTACTGGCGCCCGGTTTGGCTGTGGCATTGAGCACGGTGGACGCAAAGGCCGAGGCGATGTAAGCGCCGCCCGAGACCGCTACCAAATGATCGACCGACTCCCAGCGCCCTGCCTGATGTGAGGGCGCTGTGACTCGTGGGCGATGTGAGGGCTGGAATTCTCTCAGCTTGAGGCACTCGGATGCACCGAGGAGTTTGAAAAACCTATCAATAGTATCGGCTGGTGACTTAAATTTGAGCCGAATCCGACGAAAAATAGTGCTTGGGTAGTGGGGGCCCGGTAATGGTTGGTGAGACAGGTGTCTAAGTCTGATCTGCGTGGGCGGTTGAACACGGAATGCGCTGCCTCCGCCAAACGCCACAGCACCCCAGCTTGGAAGGCTGCAGCTCGCACGCCTCAAGACCAAGGCATGGACAAAATTTCACTGACATCATGTGGACTCTTGATTAACTACCCCCGGAAAATTAACATGGAACCTGCAAACCCACTGGGTTGTAGAGGAAAATCGTCTTCCAAAGCTGCATCTCTTCAGGTTCAATCTTGGAGCCCATATACTGCACTCCAAATGCGGGGAATTTATCAAATCAATCAAGAGTCTACATCACAAACTATAGCAGGATCAGTTGCAGTATTCAGCGGCATTGTTTGTGGACCATGTCCATTGATATCCTTACTCCTTTGCTTTTAAAGCGCCTGTCACGAATCGTCCACCTTTAGCTGCTGTACTGGGATCACAACATATATAACCACATGCATGGACATGGGCCAAGCACACCCCAAACGAGCCGTTGTACCTCGTTTTACATGGCTTCGGGCTGTGGCGAGTGGACGATGATTCTTAGAGGAGTGCTCGGATCTCATTCCTTAGAAAAAGAATGAGCTGTATAGTGGTGCAGGTTGAGCGTAGGTGTGTATATATAGGTTAAACAATTGACAAAACACAGGGCAAAAATGGCTGTGGGCCATGGCACCCGGATCCCCAAACCCTGGTAGGTTGACCTGTTTATATATATATAGTAGTCTATTCGGTTCATGTTCGCCTCTCTCACTCCAGTTTTGATCTGTACTCGCAATGCCAGTGGAATCCCATACAGCCGCCGCTCCGGCGAAGGCTCCGGCGCTCCCCACCTCCTCCCGAGAAAGCCAGCGCAAAAGGTGCTCCACCGTGACGTCGGTGGCTTTGCCGACGCTTGCCTCGGAGGCCCCAGCAAGCTTCGCCCCAGCTTGGTGCTTCCCCAACAAGTGGCCCACTCCAAAGGAAAAACCCTTGCAAGAATGAATCACACACACGCGAGAGTCAGTATAGAGACTGATCCATGACTGATCCAGGTCAAAGCCCATCTAAATAGCACCCCCATCGTCCCCCGTCGCTGGTGTCAGAACGGAGGGATACGGAAGTCGGCGATGCGCACCGCGGAAGATCATGAAGTGCCATCCGAAAGGCGGTTGATGAGTCCTCGCTCTTGCCTGAGTGCTGCACCAACAAACTGTTATCTTAAGAGACATGGATCTTACTTGAAAACAAAGACCTCCGAGGCCCAGGATTCTCTTGAGTGTTCTCTCTCTCTCTCTCTCGGCAGCGGTCTGGCCACAACGCACGGCAGCGGTCTGGCTACAACGCAGCGGTCCCACAGAAGACACACTGAGGAAGAACAGACACTTGCAGTCTTTTTCGTCTGTGACTTGTTCCTTCTCTACTTGCCTCCCTCGTGATCCTCGAGGTTGATTGGATTTCATTGGCTCCCGGTCTTTCAAAAGAATCGACCAAATGATCGCCAAAGCACTGAACCACCTGAGGCGGACGAGCTGACAAGCCGACCGAGCTGCTCTGTGCTGGATGTGCTGTGTCTTGGAGTCCTACACATGGAATTCATTCGATGTTTTTTCCTCATCAAGTCAACATTTATGGGGTTTACCATGGTGTTCACCCCCAAATATAGTCTATCTTTTCCAGAAATGTTTTTGCCATGAAGGAATTCTGGGATGAATACATCGCCATTGACCTTGACACAATTATTTGCATTTTTTTTTAAAGTGACTGTCGGTCTGATCGAGTAACGAAATCGCCGACCCACGCGGATGCCGTGAACGGCGGTAACGGCGCCTGATCCCAAGAAAGTTCTCCACAGTCGGTCTGGGATTTCCAAAATGACCGCAGGCAGCTGATCTGATGCAGGCTTTCCTACCGATGTTGGGCGGAAAGAACGTTGTAACATGTTTTAAAGATCTTCTAAAGTCAAACTGCAAATACATCTTGCTGACACAACCCCAAACAAGAAACATCAGATTCATACAAGCAGGCAAGCACAAATGTTTCTGGAAGCAATTGCCAAAAAAAGAAACACTTTGATATATGTTGATGGATGATGATGGATGGCTGATTGCCTTGGTGTCCACCATGCCACTGCGCGAATCTTATGCCTACAAAGACCGCCCCCAGATTCCCAAACTACTGTGATTCACCCATCTTCACCTCATCTTTCATGAAGTGACTATGACTGCAACTTGGAAGGTGAAAAGGTTTCTTGGCCAGTGGTTTGCAGTTCCCCAAAACATCTTCAAATGAGTGTGTAGCTCAAATTGGAAGACAGGGTGTCTCCCTGTGAAAATGCACACCCTTGGCCCATTAAAGGACCAGTCATGACCGGTCACCTACCCACAGTGATGATGTCACAGTCAATGATGATGATGATGATCATCATCATAGTGATAGTAAAGGCCTTTCTCTAATAGTGTTTACCGACTGTTATAGTGATCCCCCAATAGCACATTCCACTCCATGTTCTGTGGACTCCCGTTCTCTCGGGCCGCCCGTTGGCGCCCGACCCACCTCATCGGTCGGGCTGGTGTCAATGTCGCTGAGCACCTGGACGTCGAACGAACGACCGGAGCACGGGGCATGGGAGTATTGTGAGACCGAAGAAGATCTGCATGGAGCTGGGAGAGCTGGGGCGTCATCTACATAAATAAATAAAGAGAGAGAGAGAGAGGGGGGGAGGCAATGGATCTCGAACATTCAACAAATCACAATGTCCATCAAACCTTTGGATTGTATACTTTTGCCGGGGAGTGACAGTAGCATTGTTGTTAATAACTTCATAATAAATGTTTGCAAGTGTTTGTTCACATTTCTGGTTCGGTATCCGCTCGAGATTAGCGCAAAAGAGTCCGTGATTCAGGGGCTGCGCAAAGCGTTTTTTGCCATCGAAAATGCACTCGATTCACTGGACTTCACAAACAACCTCGTCTCATGGAAAGGCACAAGATTCGATACTGGGGGTGGTCAGTGGTAAGCTTCAAGCTTCCAATAATAAAACAAACACAACTGGATAGAGCACCAAACGCTCCCAAAACAAAGAGCATCTTCGTTATATATCTTCGTTCAATTGCTGCCACCCTGTCTGTGAGTCTATGAAGACCATATCTTACTCAGTGGCACAAGCCTTAGGTTTGGTGATGCGGGTGCAGTGTGTTGCCTCTGCACGCTGGACCAAACCCTCCAGCCCTGAACCTACAAAGCTGTTCGACGTTCATGGCCAACCATTTGCTCGGAACTCAGAAAGAGTTTTTGTGTGTGGGGTTTTATTCTCTTCCTCCGGGTCAAGGGAGTAATTTCAGGGATTCACGGGGAATTGTAATTGACATTAAGTTAAAGGACAATAAGGTTATGAACCCGAACTCAACAGACAGAGCCAAAATCCTTGAACCTCTTCTGTGTGTGTGTTCGGTGTCATAACAATAAGGAACATGATGGAACGATGGAACAGGTGACTTTTTGATGGACCAAAAAAAAGGACAAGTTCAGAAGACTGGTCAGGCCCCAGTCGGCGTAAAGGATGAGTCGACAGGTTATTGAACGAGCTGAAAGAAACCATACATAACATGTCACGTTGCTTTCATTGTTTGTGTCAACAAGCATTGCACAACCAAATGCCTACTTACAAGCGCCTACGCCCCCAAGCAGGACTAGATAATGATTATTAAAAACACTGTTCAAGGGGGCAGGCTTTGAAGGCACTTGGGCCTTGAAGCACACAACACGGCCAAGTCATAACATTATGCATGGATGTTGCGGTGAAATTTGCTGTTAACATTTGCCAATTACAATCTATAATTCGTGATACCCGTATATGAATATTATATATATATATTGATACATACCCAAACAGTCCATGTATGCAATATATGCCTACATTGACCCCCCCAAACTACCCCAATGTAGGCATATATGGCAGCCCCATGGAGTGTCTGGGATAGTTTGTTGGCTTGGCTGGCACAGTCCGGTGGCAAGGCTGGGGGCGCAGCGGCGCAGCGTGGTGTGCCACGCTGTGCTCATGAGACTGGACACGCGGCCCCAAAGCAACACACCGCTGTACCCATCGAACGGCCCCCCAAAAAAACAGCTAAACGCCGAAAGCCACCAAACGCCAAACACAAAAACAATTGCCAATGACCCCCCCAAAAAAAGTAATAAATAAATAAATAAACCTGCCCAGTCGGCCAATGCCAACAACCTACGTCCGTCAATGCCAGACACCGCAACCTCTAAGGCAAGAGACTTCCGAAACGTCGTCAGCAGCATTTCCAAGATCACCGTCTTCACACAGTGTCAGCAAGCTCCAGTTGCTGCCTTGCCGGTGCTCCGACAAGGTATGCGTCAGCCTCAGTCGGGCACCATTCGGTGGCGTTTGACGCATCTGTCAGGCGGGACGCATCCAACGGTACGCATCAAAGAATGGAGGCCCCTTGCACAGGATCACATGGGCATACGGGAGACCTCCCATGCTTCGACGGTGGAAGGGTGATGAGGTCTCTGAAGTCTCTCGATTAAGACATCACTTAGGAACTCTGAAATGATTCACTGGGGTTGTAGAGGTTTCTGGATTGACTCTTCGGAAAAATTGTCGAAACCACGGGGTCCATGCGATCGCTTGCAGGGGGGTACTAAACCATCGCTTGCAGGCCAGTCTGATTCGAACAACTCTTCTCACCCATCGCATCCGACTGAGCTTCCCCACAAGCGTGGTCTGGAATGCTCAATGTGCGTGTCTGCCGACGCTTTCCTCGCCGAACCGTGCAGGTGAGCGGAACGGTCGTCTGCAACGTGGTTCTCTGCCTCCCCAAGTCTGGTGGTGGACGAAAGCGAACGTCAAACACCGCCAAGTGCTTGGAAGTGACGTGTTGGTGGAGCCGCAGTCCGTTTTTTTCTCGGCCAAGTGTCCAATGCATGTCTGGTGCAGTGAGGAGCTCTACCCATTGCACATCCACGGTCACAAACGCATGCCGGATCTATGCCTGGCTTGATGATCATATGCCATGTTCTACCTGCCACGGGGATGTTTTATATTAAATACTGCAGTAGCTTTCACAATATATTGTATAATTATCAATCGCAGTAGGTCTGAAGGGTTTGACTCTGAGAAGCTTTGCTGACATGGACAACTTAGCTTGATGAAGCCAAGCATGTCGCCAGCGGACATGTTTAAGCTGCAGAGATCCGTCAAGAATCGCAAAGAAAGAGCGCCTTCATTCATCAGACTCAAGAGATCAAGAGCTCATTTAGAGCCCCAACTGGGTGACACCACGATTCACTGGGGTCCCTCCAAAGACCGCGCATCAAGAGAGGGCATGCAAACCACTCTCGTGCACTAGCAAAGATCATGTCGGACAAAGCCGTAAACTACACAATAGAGATTCTTTTAGACCCATGTCCAGTCATTCCTTATTCCGTAAATTCCTTGCAAGCCCCACCAGATCCCACCAGATCCCGTGCAAAGCCCTCTGTCTCGATGCTATTCGCACCACGCACCGCTGCGAACAAGAGCAAAGCACCACCACCAGCCACACCCAGCTGCCCAAAGTCACAAAGCTGCATTCTGTGCCGTTCTTTGGTTGAAAATGCTGCATGATCAATGCAAACATGTCACCAGAACATGTCCCTGCCTTGGAGCTCTTGGACATGTTGTAGAATGTAGGTCAAAGTATATATATAGTGTGTGTGTATGTTTATGCATGTTTAACAAACCAAGTTTGGGTCCATCTGTTGCGTGTCAGACTCGGTGCACCAACTGTCGTTTCCTTAGCCTTATAGTATCTCTCTCTCTCTCTATGTAAGTTCTCCATGCCAGGGCAAAATAGTAAGGCCTCCCAGCTCCCCAAGACAAGTGCAGCTCTGTGGAAATCACTGGGGCTCCCCACATGCCTCACACTGTCTGAGACTTCACGCTCCGATCGGAGCTGCTCCTTTCTCCAACCGGAGGCTTCTTCCGGAAAGCGTTTCTCGGAAGAGTGCTGCCTATCTTGGCCATGGCCTAAGAATCCTAGGAACAATGGCTGATGAGGCTCAGCCCGCTATAGCCGTCATGCTTGTTACAGGATAAAAACCCAGAAAACACAAACTCACCACACGGCTAGAACCCCCCCCCCGGTGTGCATCGAAAGAGAACTCTCGGTCGTCTCGAGTCCGGTAGCCATGCGCCTCGGTGTGAGCTCGGATCTCCGCCATGCGCCGCTCGGCGGCTTGCTGCTCGCGGGCGACCTGGCGGGCGAGTCCGTTCCCGGTCGAGGAGGGTCTGACCAAGAGGAGGGTCCGTCGACCAAGAGCTGCAGACTCTAAAATTGCAGCCTCCTGCATCCGTCTCTTGAGTTGGATGTTAAGGGTCTTGTCTCAGACTCATGAAAATGCAGCATCATCAGCATCCTGATGCATTCCGACTGTGCTGGACTGTGTTGCTGCGTCCTGTCTAAAGAGTCCATACGTCTGATGCTACGAACGGAAGGTGCTGACATCGGGATTTCAAATGATTTGCAAGTTCATCTGATGTGTTGGAGCATTGATGACCAGGAGGGCTCACAACTGGAGAGGACGCCTACCTTTGTCGACATGACTAGCTAGATGATGAGAACTGTTGAAAAGAATCATTTAAGTAACTAACTGCATGGCCAACACGATCTTCTTTGGGGTCCAAAGCCATCCCTGCCATCCCTCCAGGCTCGCCCTGCAATGCTGTGCCTTCTCGTGGGCTTTCTTGTGCTCCTCTTGGGTCATGCGTGCCATCGCTTCTTGCTCCTGGACTGACAAAACACACGAAAACACCACAAGAATCCACAAAGCTATAGTGAAACGAGTCGACAAGTTGAAACCATGATCCACAAAGTGGAAAACACTGCGTCTATATGTCTGGACTTCTGCTTCCAAAAGTGTTCACCTAGAGCTCAGTCAAACATCCTTTGACCTCTGCTTCTTGGTGATAGGCAAAATTTACTGTACTCAGCCTCCGGTGGTCCAAAATCTACTCAGCTTCCACCGCATGTAACGAGTTCGGTCGAGCGGGGAAGACCGCCACCTCTCCTGCTTCATGCGCTCATCACATTCGGCCCTGAACTTCCTTAGATCCCCCAGGTGCGGCGAAGCCAAGAAATCCATGGGGTTAAAGTTAGATCTTTAAATTTAACATATATATATATGTATATATATATAACCATGCATATAATAACCTCTTGATTGATTATATATAGTAGCATCATGTAGCGCCAATCACCCGCCCATTTGGATCAGAAAAGCTGTCTCAGCCTCTTACTCAGCCTCTTCATATTGGGAAAACTTGATTAATCAGACGTTCTGCCAGATCTGTTCCCTACTTAGTACCCCTTCGGCTGTTTCGATCGACACCGTCTTGTCGGTCGTCTTGGTATCTGTCTGACGGGGACAGGGAGTGTTCGGTAGTATGGTGTGAAACGCCACGATCATGGCATCTTAACCCACGAATTGGTCTCAATTGGTCACGTCTCGTTCTGAAAGGGCTTGTGGGAATCACCAAACATGATTACTGTAGTCATGATCAACCGGGATTGAGGAGTACATGCAAGCGTGGGATGCACGAGCTGGTGCAGGTGGCACCAGCTCGAGTCTTGGAGACTTTGACTGACTCAGCGCCATGCTCCATTCGTGCGATCATCACCTTCTCATCTGCCTTCATCCTCAGCGCACATCAACGAACGAAGTCCTGAGAATTCCTGGAAGAACGAGTTGCTGCAATATCTTGGGTACACTCCGAACACATCACATGGAAGTGGAAGACCCTGGTCTGTAAAGGAAAGAAGTCTTCCAAGGAACCATCTTCCACTTCCAAGGAACCATGAGTCAGTACTTGAGTCAGTATATATCCCACTACCACGCCCAGTGAGTCCTATGATGGCCATCGTGATGGCCATCGTGATCATCTTTTTCCGATCTGGTATGATCTGGGCTACACATGGGCTACACTACACCCTACTTCTATCACACCTCTAATCCCGACGTTAGAACACCAATGATGCACGTGAACCATGGTGAGCTCACCGTGCTGCTCCGCAGCAAGCTGCGCTTGGTAGACATGTGACACTTTTTCTCTCCTTGCGCGCCTCGTTAGACGTCTATAGCTAAAGTGGCAGCTGATGCTTGCGTGCAAAGCCAAAGACTTGTAACTGGAATGCCGGATTGGTGCAAATGCGCCCCCGTCGGGCTTTGCAATGCTGAGCACTTTCAAGCAGCGTCATGCCGGACGTCGCTGCATGGTAGGCCAAACATAGGCTTCCTGAGCGGTTCACTCCAGCTTCGCAATGTACAAAAAGCCGGCCCTTCTTTTCAGCCACTGCGTTCGCCAAATTGGCCAGGAGATCATAGTGCTGCCTGAGCGTCAGGCTGCCGGGCGGCTTCATGATCCATTGAAAGTCGTGTTACTAAATTGCAGTTATGCACGACGAAGAAACTGAAGGAACAAAAACGCATTGAAACCTAGAAAACACGTGCTAAGCGGCATAATGTTGTAGCCTTGCTCATCTTGAGCAACAAACTCTGAATATTCAATTCCGAAAGGAGCATAGAAAGCGGCTCCAGTGCGTACCGTCGATGCGGCGCAGTTTAACCTGACACACATGCTCATCAGAGTAGCAGTAGGATCAATTGAATCAATCATGATCAATCATTCTGAACATGTCAACCTGGAAAGGTAAGGGTGTCAAAACCAGCGTTTCTACATCAAGAACTGGGGCAGCTTCTACGTCATCGATACTACCGAACGGTTCGGGTCCGACTACGGTCATTGCTTCCTGCTGGTTGCCCCGGATCTCTGGGCCGGTCAGGCCGGCCATCGGACACGCAGCTGAACACACACTTCGACAATTGTATTCAGTTATCTCGATTCCCACGTTGAGAAGGATGGCGAAGAACCGCAAGGTGAAAGAGTCAGCTGAAACAGTATGGTTGAACATGGTTTCCAAAGGTGCAAGTCTGCGGTCGGCGGCTGGCTGCAACTCACGATCGGCTGAAAAATGCGGTGGAAAAACCTGTTTATGGGGAAGGTAGCATGGGAACAACCATGAAAACAAAGAACAGCGGCGAGGGGAACCAGTGGAGTCAGTGTGTTCAGCGCAGGTACGTCCAGAAGGCGTCCCTTCCGGATATCACCGCGGTTCACGGAGTGTCTTCGTTGAGTGGTGACTCCAAGACCGCGCACCACTCCCCTGCGTGGGAAACTGTGGTTGGAAAGTGGTAGTTGAAGTGGCTGGAAGAAACCCTTTGCCCAGGGGTGGACACACACAGATCGCCGTCTTCGGCGCTTTTTTGTTCAAAAAACGGTGGCAGGCTTGGTGGTTGTGTCCTTTTTGGACATAGAGCCTCACTAGCTCGGCGGCAGCAGCGTCAGCGCTGGAGGGTGGAAATGTGTATTTTCGAATGGTATGAAGTCTGGATTGGAGGCCAGACAGAGCCAAGCGCTGGCTCCCGGCGGTGGTGGAATCCCTGATTTTCCAGGGTTGGGAAGGTTGCATGTAGGTGATGGTGCGTTGTTGGAGGTCAATGTTGAAACCCAGGAGATGGAAGTCGTCCACAGGTTCGAGCTCCACTGGGTCGCCAAAGAAGTTGTGGTGGATGAGGGTTTGGATGGCGGGATGGTGAAGGAAATGTTCGTTGTGTACAATGAAGCGGTTGTCCACATATCGATAGTAAGTGAAATGCAGGTCAGTGTGTTGCAGCAAGTTGTTGTGGATCTAGGTGCCAGGAGTGTTCGATGAGTGTGATGGCTACATTGCATAGGGCTGGAGAGAGTTGGGAGCCAATCCCAGCTCCTCGGATTTGTTTGTAGGTGTTGTTGCAAGCCCGGAAAATGCAGGTGTTGAGTGCAAAGGCCACGATGGTGATGATGTCAGATGTCTGTATGGTGCGTTGTGTGGGGTGCTTGCGGTGGTGTCTGCCGATGTGGGAATGGTGGAAGGGGTTGCCGGTGGCTTGGACATCCACGGTGAGGGTGTGCGTGGATTGCTGTTGCAAGTGGTGAATCATAGAGTGAACTGCATCGATGAGTCTGTGTTGGGGGACCGAGTTGAAGAAGCCGACCAGGTCATCCAAGGAGATGTCTGCTGGCGTTTGGGTGAGGTAGCTGTGGAAGTGGTGCCAAAGTTGTGGAATGGACAGTTGTCCGGGATGTTGGGGGTAGAGGTGTTGAAGGATAATGTCGAGGGCACGGCTGGTGATGCGGAGTAGGTTGCCGCTGAGTGAATGGAAGTAGGAGATGATAGTCCGGCCTTTTTGCCACTGCTTCTTCTCCTTGAGGTGGACCACGCCGTAGGGGATGTTGAAATCCTTGCGGAAACCCCACTTGTAGCGGGTGCGTAAAAGGGGTGGGACAGTGGCTGTGAGATGGTCGTGGATGTTGGCGGCTGTGAGGTAGGGAAGTGGTTCAAAAAGTTCAGGGGATTGCCATGTGTTCAAGGCGCCAGTGAAATATTGGCGGGGGCAGAACAGCCGGAGCTGTTGGAGTTCATGGTCGGCATGGTGAAGTACTGTGTTTTGGCCGAGGTATTCTTGAAGTTGGCGAAGTAGGCGAGCCGTAAAGCGGGGTTGTTGTTTGAGGTGTGTGTTGTGGAGGCGCCATTGGTGCTCAAGGAAAGGCTGCAAGTGTTGCACGAGGGATGGTGGTAGCCGCTGCAGCCTGAGCCATTTCGTGTAGGCTGTCTGGAAAGTGAGGAAGTAACGAGCCTTGCTTGGATAGTAGGTGCTGTTCATGTTGGCGTTGAGAAAGATGCTGTGGGGAGGTGAAGTTGATCAAGTGTGAGAATGTAATGGCCGTTGGTAGTGGGTGTGTCGGGATCCTGCAATAGAGTTCGAAGATGATTGCATGCGCAGGGGAGGTCTGCTGGATCCGGTGGGGAATGGAGGGTGTCCTCCCAGGTGCGGTGATTGCGCAGTTGAGATCGGAGAGTTTTGTGTGCCGCTTCACGTAGGCGATGCGAGGGGAGGTGGAGGGGGATAGTCAGGTGTTTGTGCTGTTGAATGGTGGTACGGAGCCACTGTTGGCAATGCTTGGTGAAATCTTCGTGGGCCAGGAATGGCACTGTCAATGGGATGTTCGGTTTGGGTGGTGTGAGGTTGCGGTAGAGGAGGGCCTTGTTGATGATGTGGAGAGCTCTACTGCGGCCGGGCTCCTCGAGGTTGGCGGCCATGCGCCGGATGGCGTAGACTTCAAGGTCGGTGTGGCGGCCGCTACGCAGTTGTTTTGCTGCTTCGAAGGAGGCAGCTGTGTGTTTGGTAAGGTTGCGGAGGAGTGTAAGAGCGTGATGCTTGGGGGAGGTGTAGAGAGGTGTGGTTCTCTGAGGGTGTGTTGGCGTTGCCGTAGGCGTCTAAAGAGGCGTTTGTGAGTGGCCAGTCTGGAATAAAAATGCGCTCTGTGCTTTGTGAATTGCCATCCTTGAGCTTTGAGTTTGAGGTGGTGTGAAATGAATGGCCAGTTGAGTGTAGGCATCCAATTGGCGATATGGTGGTGTTCCTGGATCCAGGCTTGGTCGTAAGTGTCATGGGATGTAAGCTGGATGGTGGTGTAGTGGTGGATGTTGTTGTGGGAGTGCCAGTAGCGTAGGGAAAGTTCTGCGGAAATTGGGATGTTGTTCTGGAGTTGTTTGAGCTTGGCACGGCGGTTGTGTTCGCGGTGGGGAATGCCAATAGCTGTGGAGCCGACGTAGAAGTGGCCATGCTGGTGGTAGCAGCGATGGGGTGGGTCTGGGTTGAAGTGGAGTTTGATGTAAACGGAATTGGAGGAGAGGAAGTTGTGGTAGTGGTAAGTGTGGGGTAGGATGTGGAGCTGGCGGAAACGATTGCGCCATTGTTGTGAGCGACGGGTGTTGGAGGGATATGCAAAGAGCAGTGTGATGTGGATAAGGCCTGTGGCGAAGATGGCTTCGGCTCGGTCGATGTATTGGGTGTGGTGGATCAGAATGGAAAGTGCATGGTGCAAGTGGAAAAGGTGTTGCATGGTGGTGTGGCTGGGTTGCTGCTGGCTGAGGACAGCGAGTCAGCAGCCGATGGCTGCCTCCACACTCACCAGGTGTTGCAAGCTACGGATGGGGAGGCGATTGACCCGGTTAAGCGGGAGGCCGTAGCGTGTGGCGGCCTCTTTCAACTGCTGGGCAGTGACTTTGCTTGTTTGCAGCAGGCGCAAAACTTCGTTAGCTGCTTCTTGGACGGTGGGGTCGAAGGTGGTGACCCAGTGTTGGATATCGGAGTTGTTCCAGCTGTCTGGGATGTCATCCTTCAGGGTTGGGGAGGTTGCAGGACGTCAGAAAGGACAGGTGGTTTGGGTGCTGGTGGAGTGGGTGGACGGGATGGGGCGGCCGGTCCGGAGGCGTGGCTGGTGCTCTTAACGGGAGTGAGGGGTTCGCCCAAGTTGTGGAGCTTCTGTTTTGCGCGGGCCAGCTCATCGGTGGTGTTTTTAAGGGCTCGTAGAGCTGTGCCCTCTGCTGGTGCCGGGGAGTGGGATTGGAGCTGTTGGATGAGGAGGTTGATGAGGGGGGCGTGGAAAGCCCGTGCCTGTGTGGTCTTGCTGGGGATGTCGGTTCCTTGTTGGGTGTGCAGGGTCTCGGCGATGCCGTCTAAGTCCAGGCGTTTGTCGCGGAGCTCTTGGAGAAGGTGGGTAACGAAAACAGACTCCGCAATACTTCTAGTGGCAATAAAGCCTGTGTATTTTCCGTTGCTGAGAGTGCGGGCTGTGTATTCGGCCGTACCATGGTACGCCAGTTGCCAGGGGAAGATGTCGAAGGTTGGGAGCCCTGCCACCCCTGCTTTACGAGACCATTGTGTTGGTTGTATTGTGCGGTAGAGCTGGTGGCCGTGTAGTGTGTTGGCATCCCAATGGTGATCGGTTTGGTTCCAAGATTCTTGGGGTGGTGGCTTGGGGGAGGGGACGTGGGGTGGTGGTGGGGCAGGCGCAGTGCCGGCGCGGGCAGCCGGTGCCGGTGGTGGACTGTGTTTGTAAGTCGATGGCGGTGGAGTGTGACTGGATCGGCTGTGGGCAGTGGTGGGGGCGGTGGGGGTGGGAACTCCGGCTGTGACGGTGGAGTGTGTTGTGGCGGCGTGTGCTGCGGTGGCGGTGTGTATGGGTGAGAGTGGTGGGTCTGATGCGCGCGGAGTGCGTGAGTGAGTGGGCCGTAGGTACCAGTGGGGTTGTAGGTGTGATGGCTTGCAGGAGGATGGGTAACGGTGGCTTCTGTGTTGGCGAGCTGCTGATGTTGCTGCTGCTCAAGCAAACAGTGGTTCCAGTAATATTGCTGCCATTGTGCGTCCATGATGGATGGTCGGCTGGAACGCTGATGAAGACGATCACGGGTTGTTGTTTGAGCAGGCTGAAAGGTGCAGAGGGAGGAGAGGATCAAATAAGGTATGCAGGGTGGCTGTCAGTGTAACATCAAAGCAGTTGAAAACAGTTGAAAAGTGTCATGCGGTCATGTTGCAATCACTCAAAACCACAAGCACATCAAGGTCCACGTACAGTAGAACCGCAATAGATCAAGTGCACAGCAAAAAAACAGCAATCCAATAGTCAGGAAAATTAGGTCGGTGCTTTGATTAAAGTGTAACTGATGTCGATCAAATAATCTCGTCAGCCCG